GCCGTGCTGGGCACGGGACAGCCGGCTGCCGAGGACGGGTGAGTGTCCCCACACTGTGCACCCCGTGCAGGGCCATTGGGACAGGCTGGAGGGGCCCAGCACGGCGCTGTGTACAACTGTCCCTCTGTGCTTGCAGGGCTGTGGGGCTGGATGCCTTTCCCCGGCTGGAACCCCCGCCACCCATCACCAAGAAGCGGACGCCGCGCGCTCTGAAGACCCCCCAGGACATGCTCATCGCTCCGCAGCCGGAGGGGACCAGCATGGGGAGTGGTGTGGAGGAGCCTCCGGAACCACCCACAGCCCACCCTGACCCCACAGAGGAGCAGCTGGGGATGGGGGACCCGTCTCCTCCAGAATGCCCTGGCGTCCCCAGCGTGACAGGCGCCCAAGTGCCCACTGGGGACCAGCCTGCCAGTGCCTTACCCGTGCCCGACCTCATCCATAAGGGCAGCCGGGAGAGCCAGTGGCCAGTGGGTGAGAGGGCCACTGAGATGTCACCCGGCACAGAGAAGCCCTCACGGAGAGCGGGGCTGGAGCACGAGCCACCAGGGAGCACAGGGCGGCCAGAGCCACGTAGCCCTGGCTGGGAGGTGGAGGGGACCCATCCTGACCTACTGTCCTTTGAGTAGCAGTGGGTAGCTGTGACACGGGCACCGTGGGGGCTGGCTCTCCCAGACTTGTCTCTTGCTGCCACTTGCCTTTTCTGGGGTGATTATTTTGGAAAGGGGGAAGCCTCGGGGTGGAAGGAGCCATTGCTGCCGGGTGTGGGCTCTGGGGAGCCATGACAACCCACTTCTCCCCAGATTCCCAGGAGGGGCACGGCCTGTCTCACCATGGCTCCTGCAGTCCCATTCTGGGCCTATTCACCCTGGTCGGTGCCAAGCTCCTGTCCTGCCACAGTGCCACTGCCACCCTGTCTGCTGCCAGGAGCCTTGCTGAGCTGGGGACCAAGAGGGTGTGTGGGGGTAGAAGTGCCAGCCTGCCCCAAACCCCATGGGCTCTGAGCATCCTGTGAGCATCCCACAAGCAGCACGCACTCCTCCGTGTCTGCACTGGCTGCCTTGGTCCAGAGGATTTCCCAGCTTATGCCATGTGCTTGCTGAGATTCCCCGTGCTGGGGCAGCAGCATGCTCACCCAGCCCTAGTGCCTGGTGCCAGCGAGCCAGGACAGCAGATGTGTCCAGGGCCTTCTCCAGGTGCTGGAATCATGGTGTTTCTCTGCTGAGTGCCAATACCCTTGCAGACCTGAGCTCTGGCAGGGCACAGGGCTGGGCACCTGGGACTGCGCAGCTGCTGGCCAGAGGCTCTGCCAGGGAGCTGAGCTCTCTGTGAGACCCCCTTCCAGCTCCTGCTTGTTTCTTGGTCTCGTCCCAGCCACCATGGACAGAACTGTCCAGGCAGGCAGCCCTCTCCATGTGGGCCAGTGTCACTGCTCCCCTTTATTTCCTGGGACAGTGGTCTCTGTGAGACTGGGACACGAAGCCAGTGCAGTCCTCTGATACTGCTGTATGAGTGTTTTGCCATGGATTACAGGAGGGGTTAGCCAGCCTGTGCCAATGCAAGGAAGCAGCTGTGAGATGGAACTTCTTGCTTAGAGCTTTTATGTACATCCTCACCACAAAGGTGGTTTACAGAGGAAAAGCTCCAAAGCCCCGGGTTGGGTTGGAGGAGCCCAGGAGCTCGTGGATAGGCCTGCTCACAGCTCCTGGGCCACTCAGGGTGGTTGGGCTGAAGCTTCCAGCACCCAAAGCCACGCTGTCCCACTGAAGGAAGGAAGCTGTGAGCATGGATCCCATTGCCCTGGGAGCAGCCACCCATGTCCTTGCCATTGGAGCAGTGATGCCATCCATGGTGGTTCTGGGGCCCTGCAGCTCTCAGCTCTGGGAAAGCCCTGCTCAAGAGTGAGGGGATGCAGAGCTGCACAGAGCCCGTGTTCAGTGCTGAGGTGTCACACACCCTGTGGCAATGTGATCACGCTGTGCATGGCTGCCTCCACCTACAGATACAGGGGGTGTTTGCTGCCCAGCTCTGCACTGCAGTGTAGGTGTTGATGGAAACAGCTTCAGCCCCCTCTGAAGAACCAGCATCTTCCATCACTGTGATCCCAAGGGAACCTTCTTCCCCTTAAGGGAGGGCCGACACTTATAGCCGGCCCAGTCCCTTTATTTATGTTGTCAGCGTGCTTGTGTGTGGTTTGGGACAAGAGATGCAGATTGCACAATAAATTTTCTTTTTCTTTTTTACCCACTGACGTGTGGCGTTCCCTTGATGGGAGAGGACACCCTGCACGACCCTGTCGCCATCCTGGTGGGGAGTCAGGGGCAGAGGGGGAGTTTGGGGTGGAGAACGTGGCCGCCCTGGCACTGAGGGGACGGGAGCCATGGCTGCTTCTGGGCTGAGGGCGTGCGAGCCCCGGGAGGGCTGAGGGTGCTGGATGATGATCCTCAGGCTGAGGGAAGCGGCTCCCGGGGGTGCCCAGGCTGAGGGAAGCGGCTCCAGGGGGTGCCCGGACTGAGGGAACCGGCTCCCGGGGGTGCCCGAGCTGAAGGGAATCGGCTCCCGGGGGTACCCGGGCTGAGGGAACCGGCTCCAGGGGGTGCCCGGGCTGAGGGGACGAAGCCCCGAGGCTACTGAGGTGCTGGAGCCCGCCCGTGCCCGGGCTGAAGGGACCGGGCCTCGGGGGTGCTAGGGGACAGGAGCCTGGTTGCTGTCTGGGCTGAGGTCGTGCGAGCCCCGGGAGTGCTGCGGGCGCTGGAGCCGGCCCGTACCGGGGG